GAGCTCCTGCCTCTCTGGCTGCTGGCAGGGAACTGCCTCAGGCCTCTGCTTCTGGGCTTTATAAGGGCCAGGCCCTGCCCCTTCCAGCCAGCTGACTCTCATTAGTTGCCCCGGCAACCCACAGCTGTGCTCCCTAATCACCGCTAGGGCTCCTTCTTTAGCAGTTTTTCCCCTCTTCAGGCACAGGGCACCTTAGTGCTCTGTGACACTCTCCTACAAACTTCTTAGCTTACAGAAGTCAGCCCTTCTGAAGTCAAGGACTTTCGCCTTACTGCTTGCTTTCACCACCCTGCACTGGATAGTAAATTCCAGCAGGTGATGATCACTGTCACCCAGGTGGTCAAGTATCCGCAGACCCTTCACCAGGTTGTCGCCCGTGGCGAGGACCAAGTCCAGCAAGGCATTTCCCCTGGTGGGACTATGCACCTCCTGGGTTAGGTGGAGGTCCTGTATCCTGGCTAGGAACCTACGTTGAGTGGTCAGACCTAGCTGACTGCTCCTCCTAGCAGATGCCCGGGTAATTTAGGTCACCCATGACAACCACATCCCTTGACTTTACAGCCTCTGTGAGCTGACCTGAAAATTCCAGGTCCAGCTCGTTCCCCTGGTGAAGCCGTCTGTAGTAGACACCCACTATCAAGTCTCTTTCCCCACACCCCGCTTGCATTCTTACCCAGAGTGCCTCATTTTGCCCCTCCTCTGACCCCATCCTGATAATAGAGGACATGTATTTTTGACATATTGCGCTACACCCATCCCCCCTCTTTTCCTTGCTCTGTCTTACCTGTACAGCCTGTATCCCTCGATGTCCACTGCCTAGTCATGGGTAGAATCCCACCAGGTTTCCGGGAGCCCCACTAGGTCTGGGTTTTTGCTAGCTATCAGGAATGCAAGTTCCTCTTGCTTATTCCCCATGCTCCTAGCATTAGGATAGAGGCATCTAAGCCCCGCAAAAGGTGGTCTTGCTACTTCCCCATTATGATGCTTAGTGGCACCCTTGGTACTTACCTGGACTGTTCCAGTGCCTAGCTTGAGGTTCATTGTTCCTGGCTTCTTTCTGTCATCAACATCCCCATCCCCTGATTAATCTAGTTTAAAGCCTGGGGTAGGAGATCAGCCAACCTGTAAGAGAAGAGACCCTTACCTCCTGGAGAGCAATATAGCCCATTTCATCTGAACAAGAACTTATCCTGGAAGTGCAGGTCATGGTCAAGGCATCCAAACCCTGCATAATGGCACCAGCTCTAAAGCTGAGAGTTGACCTCTCTAACACAATATTGTTCATGGCTTCTTTCTGTCATCAACATCCCCATCCCCTGATTAATCTAGTTTAAAGCCTGGGGTAGGAGATCAGCCAACCTGTAAGAGAAGAGACCCTTACCTCCTGGAGAGCAATATAGCCCATTTCATCTGAACAAGAACTTATCCTGGAAGTGCAGGTCATGGTCAAGGCATCCAAACCCTGCATAATGGCACCAGCTCTAAAGCTGAGAGTTGACCTCTCTAACACAATTGCTGTTGTGCTGTCCTTGACCGCTGAATAGTAGGATTGATAAGAAGATCACCTGTGCCCCTGAACCTCTGAGTCTGGCTCCCAGTGCCATGTAGTCATACATGACCCAGCCTGGACTACTCCAGGCTGCATCGTTTGTTCCTACATGGATGAGGACCATGGGATAGTAGTTAGAGGGTCTAATCAGGTCTGAAATCCTCATTGTGATGTCTTGAATCCAGGCTCCAGGCAGGCAGCATAACTCCGGTACCATGGGATCCAGGCAGCTGCTGGCACTGCAATGAATGCTGCAATGCTGTGGAGGATGGAGCGTCCCACAGGAGTGCGGGGGGCGGGGGAGGAGAGGCTTTATGTGCTCAGTGGTGAACTGGAAGTGGACGGAGTACTTCTAGCACACTTTCCAGTCCGTTGGGAAGCACGTGGGGGGGGGCCCTGCCCCCCACCCCAGCTCAGCAATCAACCACAGGGGGATCCCGGGTGCTCCCCCAGACCCAGGAGGTACCAGTCACTGAGCCGGGGGGGGGGGGGGGGCTCGGGGTGGTCCCCCAGCGCAATCCCTGGAGGACCTGGAAGTGGCCCCCCAGCATCACAGCATTCATGAGCCACTTGCTACCTTGAGGTATGTAGAAAAATAAAGCTGTCTCTATGTCCAAATCTCCAAATCTTTCTGAATCTCTCCGTATTGATTTGGACGGTTCTGATTCAATTCAGAAAGATTAAAGGGTCTCCTGATTTGATTCACATTCGGAAATTTGGCCACCAAATTGGGCCGAATCTCCACCAAATTGAATCAGGGACTGAAGCTTTGCACAGCCCTACTGCAAAGGCTAGATCTGGAAGGAACAGATCACACTTTCTCCCATCGGTTCATGGGGGCACAGAGATGCCTGCACTGGCAGGCTGGGGACACTCCCACATGCCTCCTGCCATGGGACACTGCTGAAGGCACCTGAGTCCAGCCAATCAGTGACCACACTTGATTAACTGCTGGGCACATGCCCCCAATCCCTGATGTCAGCCATAGGGAGGGGGTCAGCTAGCTGAGAATCTCTCCCCAGCCTTGCTCCCCCCACCCCACACAGCTGCCAATGGTGGTGGAGGGAGGAGTTGGGGGGAAAGAGGAAGCCTCTGCCCCTGCCTTCTCCAGCCAGAACTGCTGTGGGGAGTTGGGGAACGCACTGCAACGGGCTTTCTCCCCTCTCCTGCTCAGTGGCCCAGCTAGGGTTGGGGAACACAACCCTATACCCTGCCAGCTGTTGGGGTGGGAGGATGGGGGGAAAGTGGAGGATCCCAACTCCCTAGCCAGAAGCTCTGGGGATCATGCTGCAGGGTCATGCCATGTGGTGGTTTCTCCCCTGTTGCCCAATGACTGGCTCAGCTGAGAGCCCCAACCACTGATTAATCACGTCTTAAGTGTAACCTTGGATAGGGACCTGTGAGATAGACCTGTATGTGGGTCAGAAATGTCTAATCTAACCGATGGAACCACAGGATCTTAGAGCACGCTCAGCTTGAGAATCTAGCCCTGGCCACCTGCACGGATCTCACTGTCACTTCATTTGACAGCCCTCTGGTGTGCGCCTTGCTTGACAGGGAGCTGCATGCTGTATGGGTTGCAGAGCTCCAGGTTGCAGTGCGATTAACTTGGTGTCCCTGCTCTGTAGTAACTTTGCCCAAAGCTCCCTTTGGAATAAGAAGTTGGCAAGTACCTTATACCACACATCTATCCTGTTGGGAAGATTTATTAGAGAGTAAATACATTTTAAACAAATTTTAATAAAGATTTAATAAAGATTTATTTGAGAGTAAACCTAGACCAAGGGGCTTGGTAATGTTGTCAAGAATGTATGGGTTTTTGCTGAATCAGACCTGCTAAGCTAGAGCTGTCCAACTGGTGACCCACTGGCCTCATCTAACCCTGCTGCCTCTCCCCAGTTGTTCCTGCTGCTATGGCAGCCAGGGTCTGCAGGCTTCCCCTCTATCTTTTGGGTTTTTCTTCCTGCCCCCAACTGCTGGGGTTGGGGCACAGTAGTGGGAGGACACCATCTGAGGGGCAGGAGCAGAGCTGGGTTGCCCATACAGCAAGGGAGGGGCTGGTGGTCTGTGATGCATGTGTAGCCAGGAGGGAGGTAAGGACAACTGGGCTGCCCAGGCCCCCTTCATGACAGGGGCCACTCACATGGCAGAGGGGCCTGTGGCACATGCAGCATTCATCCCAGGGGCCTGTGGGCCATATGGCATATAACCACTCTCCATTCAGAAGGTGGACATTCATGCAGTAAGCAATCATTTCTGAATTATTCCTGACAAACTGCATACAGGGTACTGGGAGAAGTGCAAACGGCTCTATATCATCACCTTTTGGGGAATTGGGCACCGGAAATGTGCAATAGACCTTCACATTGTTGCTTCCTGGTCTTAGTGTAAACCTTAATAATCTTCCAGGCTTCTCCTGTTTGTCCAAGTCCTTTTGTTCTAAGTATGTTGTGAAGGGGCTGGAATCTTTATGCAGTTTGACTCTATAGCCCCAGATGCAAGTTTTCTAGTTTACTGTAGCCCATACACAGGCAAGTGCTTCCTTTTGTCTGACTGAGCATTCCTATCAGCTTCCGTAAGGTTTTCTTGAAGCAAATTCAAAGGCTTCTCCGTGTTGTCTGTGGCAGTCACAATTGTAGGTAATCCAGAGTCACAGAGTATAAAACATTTTCTCATTCCAAATCTGGTCTGCACAGCAGTTGTCCAGGACAAGCTTGAGTTTCCAAGAAGTGGTTGTAATGGCTGTGTGACTAAAGTAAATTTTGGAATAGACTTTGCATAATCATGACTAAAGAGCCAGAAAAGAGTGATTTGTATAGAGCTTTTGGATTTCATGCATGTTGGATAAGGGTCTTTGCTGGGATTTGGGAGATATACATTCAAACCCCAATGGATGAAGAGGGCCTAAAACCTGGGTGCCCTACTACCTAAACAAATGGCCTATTCCCTAAGCTATTGAGAACAGGGGAAGTAAGATCTAAAACAGGCTAAATAACCCCAAATGCCACTTATATGTCTAACAGTGGTCATGGATGTACTACTTACCCTCATAAAGCGTGATTTTATTTGGGCCTGCATATCTATCTCAGGGAGGCAGATTTTGCTAGGAGGGTAAGGCACCTGAAGAGATGTGCTGTGATGCTCAGCATTGCCATGTATCAGTCCCTTTGTCTTTCTGGAAGATATGCTTTAGCCAAAGACACATAACTTGGATGTGTACAGGAGTTACTAGAAGACAGTTAAAGCTGTGTGATATATAGGAGGGCTTATCTAAAAGTATCTTCTAGCCTCAAAACATCTGAAAAGCTTGTTAAGCTGCTGTACCACACAAGAGATCTTCTGGAAGCAAAAGAAAAGCATGAAAAGTTTGAGTTTTCAGATAAGCATTTTACATATAGTAATTGCCCTCTAAAGGAGGTGGACCAGGAGTGGCCGATTCAAGGCAACTTAAGATGTGGGGGGAAGTGGGCACGCTAGAAGGGAGGAATAGGCTGCAATCAGACCTAGACAGGTTACAGGGGTGGGCGGATGAGAACAGGATGGGTTTCAACACTGACAAGTGCAAGGAGCTGCACCTGGGGAGGAAGAGCCAGCAGCATACCGACAGTCTGGGAACTCCCTTCTCATCAGCAGAGAGGCAGAGATGGGTTTCAACACTGACAAGTGCAAGGTGCTGCACCTGGGGAGGAAGAGCCAGCAGCAGACCTACAGGCTGGGGAACTCCCTTCTCATCAGCACAGAGGCAGAAAAGGATCTTGGAGTCATTACTAATGCCAAAATGAACATGGGCCAGCAGTGTGGGGACGCGGTCAGGAAGGCCAACCGCACCTTGTCATGCATCCACAGATGCAACACGAGCAGGTCCAAGGAGGTGATCCTCCCCCTCTATGTGACACTGGTCAGGCCTCAGTTGGAGTACTGCATCCAGTTCTGGGTGCTGCACTTCAGGAGGGATGTGGACAACAAGGAGAGGGTCCAGAGGAGGGCCACTCGCATGATCAGGG